CCTTACCTCCAATAGTTCCTCATCTGCAGAAGCCAAGGGCTGAAATTTGTTGCTCAAATGAATAAACTCATTATAACTATGTTCACTACTTTTTTACTCTAACAGTACTCCGAAAGTCATCGTCAGTTGATGATATAGTGTTTATGATACGCCTTTGACCTCTATAGTGTAAAGAATTTGTTGTACATATGTATAATTAGTTCATATATATATATATATATATATATAATTTTGAAAACAAGAGGAGTGCATGCTGTTAGTTTATTTTTGAATTTATCACCAACAAGTCACAGACATCTACTGTAGAAGAATCCTTAGACCAACAACACCCATATTATTCAACCTACTTACTATATACTACTAATATATATATATATAATATTAAGAAGAATAAAGCCCAATTATTTTGACATCCTCCCATTTCATGTGCTTGCTTAAAAGTGTGAAAAATCAATGAAACTGGTGCCAGTTAAAAAGATAACTGCATCAGTTTTATGACTTATCATCAACAACACATTGTAAACAATTTCATAATCAACTAATAAGCATAAGACCATTTCAATCAGAGTTTATATAACACTTGGTGATGGAATAGGTAGTTGATTAAATATCGTTTTAAAGCCATTGACAATATTATGTCGACTCACAGTCTTCAAGATTTAGAAAAGATAAACAAACGTTGTTGGAAAGATACGTAGACTAAATGTTTAAAACAAGGATTCACTTAGGATATTCCAAACATGTATCATGTTGAGATATCAAAGAAAATTGGATGGATTATTAATTGTGAGAGATATTAGCTATATATATTTATCAGTTTCATATTTAGTTTTACATTCAATGTCATAAAATCTTAATTTCACTTTTTTGAGCTTATGAATACATTCTCTGGAACTAGTTTCTAATTTTTAATTACTGTCAATCCTTAATAAAATATAAAATTCTGTGAATTATTCATTAGTTAAAAACTGCAGAAAATAATGTTTAACTCTTTAATGAAAGAAGCTTTAATAATGGCAATATATGCACAAACATCACAACGAGTTTTATCACAACTCCTGTAACATTTTACCCAAGCTATAACATATTAGGCATAAATCTTTACGTGAGAACATTTTGCATTTTCTACACCTTTCACTTTTTTTATTTATGCCTAAAGAAATATTTTCCACTAAATCGTTTACAGTATTGTTGCCTGTCTTATTTGCTGCCCTGATCCAGATATTTCAGGATTCCAGAAACTACAAATACAAATTCATCGGAGCAGTCATCTCCATAAACTGAAACAAAGAAAGCAAGATCATCTGGATTTATAGCAACTGACAGTATCAACAGTTTTTATAGCTCAAGGGATTTCTTTGACTGACAGTACTGATAGTTTTTATAATTTAAAGGATTTGTTTGACTGACAGTACTGATAGTTTTTATAATTTAAAGGATTTGTTTGATTGACAGTACTGACAGTTTTTACAATTTAAAGGATTTGTTTGACTGATAGTACTGATAGTTTTTATAACTCAGGGGATTTGTTTGATTGACAGTACTGACAGTTTTTATAACTCAGGGGATATGCTTAACTGACAATACTGAAAGTTTTTATAACTCAAGGGATTTGTTTTGAGATAGAAATGAAGATGACATTTGAAATTCTCAGTTTGTGGTGTATGAAAATTGTTTTGAAAATTATGTATCCCCTACAATTTCAGCCTCTGGAAAATCAGAATAATTAATCAAATTTACACTGCAAAGTTTCGTAATAGCTAAAAAATGTTGCAACTCATTATGCCGCTATCTGTACATTTCTTTGTCATTTCTCAATCGGTTAAACTATGCCCATTAATGACTACAAAGATCACTGTTGGCATCCATTAAAAAATTTATTAATGTTCTACTAACACAAGCAAATTTGTAAACAATTTCAATGAAATAATAATGAAGACTATGTATATAAATACACCCATGTAAATTAATATTCAATAACTACAAGTACAAGTAGTATTCCCTCATTTAACAAGTTTTTAAGATGTACTTTAAATTTAAAAGTTTCAATAAAGTACTAGTATTGATTCAATAATACATTTGAATTGCCTTCAATAATATGTTAGAAGAACTTATGGTAATTAGCATGCTAACTTTCTATACTTCATCTGTAATTAACGTTTAGTAGAATTATTATAATCACATAGAGTTTGCTGGTTCTAACAATAAGTTTAATAATCATTACTAAATCCTTCTATACAAGAAGCCATTCACTCAAAGCAAATAAAACTCCAGAGACAGACACTATAAAAACATTTTGAAAATATACACTAGATTATGGTAAAGAACCACATTCTCAAAACTTTTCCAGTAATCCATTTGATTTTTGTTACAAAACTTCTAAAGTACTAATCATTATTAAAAAATTCAAATTGAAACTAAAAAGTTAACACACAAAAAAATTCAATAAAATGTATGGAATGAAATAGTTTTAAAATCTTTGGTTTGGTTTCTTTTGAATTTTGCACAAAGCTACACATTTCAATCTGTACCCATGCTTTATTTATTTAATATACTGACTTTTTATCCCTCTAGTAGTGAAAGTTGAAAAACTGAACTCACCAACAAAGATTTCTTTTCGGAAAGCCCATCAAGATTCCATTATTCCGTGAAACCTCTTAATATTTAAACAGTTATTAAGTGAGAGGATCTACAGATTGTGTTTATGGCTATTATTGGCGTGAGTGAAAATGCTCTATGTTGATTAAACATTTTCTAATTCACACAATTTCAACAAATTATCACTTGCTTTTGAATGTGGAAAAGATTTACATTTTGTAAAATTACCTTCGTTGGCACTAACTGCACTAGCTGTCCCTAATTTATCAGAAACAGGCTAAAGGGAAGGCAGCTAATCAAAACCACCCACTACCAACTCTTGGGCTACTCTTTTATCAATGAAGAGTGGAATTGTCTTTCACATCATAATGCTCCCACAGCTGAATAGGCAAGCATGTTTGGTGATGAGGGAAATATTGGATTACATTAGAAATTTAAAAATATGCTAGAAGTCAAAAGAAAATGAAAACAAAATGGTTTTGTAATAAATATTTCTTCCTATACATGAAAAGAAATGTCATATCAACACATGCTGAGTATTACAACACAATTCTATATTACACAAACATCATTTTGATGTAACATTTTCACCAGATACACATACTACTTGTTTTGAAACAACTGTATTCTGTGAAACATAACTGAGGATGAGATTAAATATATTCTTACTTGTAATTCTTTATCCAAGTGCATATACATTCATAAAATATACATAACAGTCAACATTTTTTGTAATAAGTCATCTTCCAGCAATCATAAATCTTTCTTTTCTTGTACTGTTACTTCTCCATTACTGAGCAACCCATTCTCTTTGACCTAATGTTTAGAGAAAAAAAAAATTAAATAAATATGAATGCAGTTAGATGGAAATATTTGTTCACAATATTCAAATCTCTCTGAAAAACTGAGTAACATTAGGCACATACCCAGCCATTAACGACAGTGTTAAGTTTTCTCCTATGTATTAATACTTTTAAATTGGCTTTCTTGTTATGTATTAAGAACTTGTAGGACCTATAACAGAAGCTATTCAATCTTAGTCATAATCTTGTGGCTCTGTTAACTTCCCTAATCTTCATCCATTATTTACTAGCTTGAGAGTACATCAAAGTAACAAACATGCAATGTATTATTTCTTTTGACATGTGGTATATAAGCATAACATGTTTTGTATCTCACGTATTAATATAGGAATTTTCAAAATTTGTTATTTGTGTTATTTCCACATAACACATTGGTCAAAAAGGTCACTAAGTTCATTTTTCTCTAGCTACCCATTGTTCTATGTTATTCACCTACAATATGCAATTTTAATCTTTCCATGGGAAAGATAGCTGCTAGGTGAAGTTACAGCTATCTTTTCTACTTGAAGTCAGATGACCTCTTATATTTAATTAAGAATGATCGGTCACATTGTTATCACTAATCACCTTGAGTATGACATTAATGAATTAAGTAGATAATACACGATTTCATCTGATACAGTTTGGTACAGAAGATCAACTAGGTTAGTCCTATCTACAATCTGATCTGAGTTAGAGCAACATCACACCTACCTGTCTAGTAAAGTCAGCTATCTGTTGTGGCAAATAAAGTACATATTTTCACTGTGTTTTATTTAAATAAAGATTGTTCCTTTTGACTGTACATTTGTGTTCAGTCTATTTCTCACAAACTCAGTTAGTCAGAAAATACAGAATTATTTTACATAACATACCTTGACAAATCTTGTATTATTTTTAGGGGAAATAAGGACTATTGGAAAATACCACAAATGTATATTTAAGTTCATTGTGCTCTAATATCGGAAAAACTATTTAAGTTAGTTGCAAAGTCAATATTTCCTATAATTAATTAAACCATAACTGAAGGTTTCAAAACCTAATCAATCTGTCTGATCTGAATACTAAAAACAAATAAAATGCAGTATATTGTTCATAAACTTTGAGCTTTCTTTTCTGGTATGATTATTTGACAAAACAGTGAACAAAATTGCATAAATACACAATATATACACTGGTTCATATACAAGTTTAGAAATCTTCAAGAGAGAAAACCCAGGAAGTGAAAAAAATATTTCCAAATCCAAACCACTAATAGCAACTTTTATATAGACTACATGGTTGAATATGTTATATTAAAACAATTTGAATAAGTAAATTAGCAAGTTACGTGACAACAACAGTCAATATATGTTTGTCTTTGGTGTCCTAATTTGATCTGTATTCCTTTGTTTCAGTTGTTATTATGTATAAAGGACATCCTTATTTTGGAAATTATAAATCTTTCATCTTAACACATCTTACATCACCTAAATGGGTGAATATTTTGCATCAGGTAGGGTTATTAAGCACCCTTTTCAAAAGCAATCAGTTTTCAGTAGTATCATTCTACCTACAAAATGCCCAGCAGTGTCAAATGAAGTTTTGATACAAGCTGTTTTCCATCACAGAAAGAGACTTGAAAAGAGTCATACCCCAGCCTGTAAAGCAAGTGTATCATCATGTAATAGGTGAGAATCCATAAACACAAAAGTCTGTGACAAAAGCTAACCACAAGTCACAGTAAACAGTACATAATATAATCAAGAAAAACCTTCATCTGGAAGAGCAACACAAGTCACATGTTCACAAGTTGCTTCCATAATATATCAGTTAAACTCTCAAATACCTCAAGCAACTGAAGAATGATCTGGGTACTGATATTATTCCAAACAAAGACATATTGGTGAAGTTTCTGGACATAGGACCTGTGGATTTCTGTGCAATTGCACTGTGGAAACAGACACAAGGTAATTGTTGTCCTTGTACACTATATTGAATATGGAGGTATGTTTTAAATATAACAGCCTTACAAAGGAGCCTTTTACAATGTGAACTGTGCTTCAAGGCCATCGGATACAGCATGATCACATATGGACTGTAACAAAAACGAGGCTTCAAAATCACTTTAATATAATGTACTGAACCTTCTATAGCTTTTTTTTAACAAAATTACACACTTAGTCAAGTTCTACACTGCAGTTAACATAATTTAAATTGAGAATAATTTACAGTCCTGTATTTTTCTACAGTTTTACTAAGTTTCAGGCATATAATAATATAATAAAAATAAAATAATAATGGGTAATAACATACAAACATTTTAGACACCCATTAAGTAAAAAAACATACAAGTGCGCTAGTTTAGAATTATTGAACATATAAAATTTCCTGCAATTATTACTTTATTTTTTGTTATAGTTGTCTGTATAATCTATTTGCACACTATAAAAATATACTTTTTTTTTAATTCAGACATTTCTATGGTTTGTCAAGAGGAAGTTTTCAAATTATGTGATTGGCATGACTTAAAAACAAGAAATTTGAAAGTTCAGAAAATGATTTGATAATTATATAGCAATTTGTTGATCTTGTTTTTGTTCTTTTTATATTTTCATTAACAACATATCAAAAATATAAGCACCTTACTGAATAAAAATCTCTTTTGTACTAAACAGCAACAATAAATTGTATTTAATTATGTTCTTTTGTTTTTGTTTTGAGAGGAGGTGACTAACCCAAAAGGTTGATGCCTAAAAGTTTTTCATATTTCATTTTTTCATATGCCTAGAGCTAACAAAGAATAAGTGTAAAATCAAAATGCTCCCAAATGTAAAATAATATAGGATTATGTTCAGATATTGTAAAATACATATTATTTTGACTCTTTTTCAGTGATTAACAAAGTTCTAATAAATCTCTTTCACAAAAATAAAAGTTTTCATATTTAATTCTTGTGAAATAGATGAAGACTACAGAAATGCAAAAATTACCATAATCCACAAGACATTATAAATTTTTGTATAAAAAATATTACAAAATTTAGAAAGAAAGAAAGTTTTAAAATTCTTTCAGTAGTTGCAAGATTCTCGAAAACTAAAGCTTGTGGAAATCCAACCAAATACCTGCAATATCCTGACTTTTTTTTTTACGAGCTTACATGTACACTTCAGTCCCAGCAACTGCATGTGTGCTATGGAGGGGGCATCCACTTATTTAGGAGGGGCACATTTTGGAAATGGTAACCAAAGTCAATTAGCTTGTAATTACTACTATTATATGTGATTGTAAATTATTATTATATTTAAATTTAATTGTACTTTACTTTAATTTCTGATTTGTATTTGTCTTAGATTTTTTACCAATTTGAAACCAGAAACTAGGAAGGAAGGGGGAAACAAGATCTAAGTTGGACAGGCAACTCCCAACCTCACGCATGGCACCAGCCCTGCTACATTGTATCTTATACTAATATAAATACATTGATTACAAAATTATCCTGTAAAAATATTTCTGATTGGTACTTTGAGATTCATCTGCAATTTTCCATATGTATTATATCCATTTAAAATACAAGCTTCAAAAATGCAAAATATTAGTTACCACTTACAGATAGTGAGGATATTGAACTTTATATTTAGATAAAGAATACTAACCTCTTCTTTTGTTTCAGCAGTAACTGGACATTTGAGTTCTGCTTTTGGCTTACGTACAAGTTTACATCCTTCTGGAGTGCACTCAATGGTGGCATCAGCTACTTGAGGGTTCCAGTATTTGGCTATAATAGGCTGAATAAAGCGATACCACACCCACAACAAGATTGGTGCTAAAATACATGGCACACATACCATCTCTTCAAATTCTAAAAACACTTTCTGCTGTTTAGATCTGAAAATATATACTTTAATAAAAATGTGACACACATTGTAAACTTGCTATACCATATATAATTAGCCTGTTTCACTAATAAACTACAAGCAATAATCTTTTCATCAACAGTTACATGTAAAATTTTCTCCTTTAAGTTTAATTATATAAACAATACAATTAAAGATGACTGTATTTTAAAATACAGGTACATGTATGCCAGTCCAGATCCAAGATGAGTTGTGCCATAGTTGCTAAAAATGAGTCATACAAGAAAAAAAAAAGAAGTACACATTTTTTTATTTCTTTTGTTACTTCCACCTCACGAACATCACCAGGTTTCACAAGAATTTAGAACACTAAAAACATTTCAGGCAATTGAGCTAGATTCTAAGGTTTTCACTTCAATTGCATCTGTCCAATAAGCAGTCATGTATTCAAATCCTACCTAGTCTTGGTTTACATGTCATAAGAATATTTCTTGCTAATGCACAATACTTCTGTATAGGATGTTGAAAATATGAGCTACAGTCCAAAACATAATTCCACACCACATGTGCAATAAACACTGCCAGCAGTTAGAAGATTAATGTTTATTTTGTATAAGTAATATATATAAAATGCTCAAAGGCTCATGGTGAACATGCTTATATTAGAAAACCAATAAAGATGTAGATAACTCTAGTTATAATGGATAGAAATAGTCAGAAATTGCAATTCAAAATATTGTAAATACATGTTTTGTTTTTGCAAAGAATAATGTGTGAAAACATACAAAATTTTTTTCTTAAATATCTATCTTAACCCTTTGATGTAACATTTCTAATGCAAGTATAATAAATTCCTGTGATTTAATTTCAAGCAATTATGGCAGCGCTTTGTCAAAAGTAGCGAGTTAAAAATATTTATAAACACACTGATTACAAGTTGAAAATAAAAAAAGATAATTCTCTCTATATATACACATCACTAGTTTGATCTCCATTTGGATATTATTATTGTATACAGTTTTGGTCTGCTTAACTTTTTCAGCATAGGCTCGGTCCCTCAGCCCGGCCTCGTAACCATTTTGTGCTTGTTATAGTTTTCATGCTATAACTTTTAAATTAGTAAGTACATGTTAATGAAACTTGGCAGATTATCAGTAAACAATACAATGTTTCATATGCAAAAAAAAGTCTTAATGTTTGTTAAGCAATGTTTTTCTCATGCCATTTTTTCTTTTTGCATGTTGCCTATTCAACATGCAAAGTAATTTTCAATTTAAGATTAAAAATACTTTTATGCATCAGAAAATTTTCAAATTTCACATGCAAAATCTTTATAATGTCCAGATAGTTATAAAATGTTTCTTAAGAAAAAAACTTTATATTTCGTCTGTTATTTTCATTAACTAATCTCTATACACGTTTATTATATTGACCTTTCAGCCATGCCTGGTTAACAATACAAAAGTTGCAATGATGTGGCACACGTGCTCTCGTGTTACTGTATCAAATATTATAAAACTGACCTTTAGTCTTTACAGAATGACCTGTTTTGGCTGTGTTTTAGCAGACTAGTATTTTGTAAAATACAGTCACATTTCCATTATTATACATTATATATGTACATAAATTATTACTATTTAGAGATAATTTTTTAAACTTATTTTTCTTAAAACATAGAACAGTAAAAAAAAAGTAAAGCAAACAATTATCTCTTCTAGTTACAACCTTTGTACTCGGTTGCTGCTTAACGTAGGTTGCTAAGCCTTTAAAATTTCACACTTGGAGGATATGAAATATTTTTTAGATTTTAAATGTATACAGTTGAATAATCAAAAAATCACAAATTACTATATCGATACCACAATTTATCAAGCTTAGTAACTAAGCTGTATTTGGGGCTAAAACAATATGGAATTTCAAGCACACTTAAGACACAACCTACCTCTTTGAAGTCTTGATTCAAAAGACTGAGATGGCGTCCTAACATATGAAAATGCCTTTAAAAGCCACTAGGGGGACATTCTGAGCTTTGGAATGGTTATTCACATGTCATATGTTGAAGTAAGTGTATATAAGGGACCATTTCCAAAGATGGAAAGAGGTGAGCAGGGCCACTTTTGATTCATTACACGAGTGATATATCAGCAGGTTTATCAGGAGATATATCAGGAGGTTCTTATTTTATATTCCAGCTTGTCAATATCAGTAATTTGAGTTCATAATTCATACAAAACTGTAGACATAGTATTTTGACATCACAAACATCTAATATGAACCAGTGCTACATTCAACATACCACATGACACACAAAAAATCAACGTTTAACTGTTTTTTGTAACACTTACTTTTAAATT